TATGGGGAAAAAGTCACATTCTTACATTGCTGGTGGTACTGCAAATTAGTGCAACCATTTTGGAAAGCAGTATGGAGATTCCTTAGAAAACTTGGAATGGAACCACCATTTGACCCAGCTATCCCTCTCCTAGGTCTATACCCAAAGGACTTAAAAACAGCATACTACAGGGACATAGCCACATCAATGTTTATAGCAACACAATTCACAATACCTAATTTTTGGAACCAACCTAGATGCCCTTCAATAGATGAATGGATAAAGAAACTGTGGTATAGATATACAATGGAGTATTACTCACCATTAAAAGAGAATAGAATTATGGCATTTGCAGGTAAATGGATGAAGGCAGAGAATATCATGCTAAACGAAATAGGCCAATCCCCCAAACCAAAGGCCAATGTTTTCTCTAATATGTGGCTGCTGATCCACAATGGGAGGGGGCAGGGGAAGAATGGAGGAACTTTGGATTGGATAGAGGGGTGTGAGGGTAGGGGARGGGGCATGGGGGTAGGAAAGATGGTAGATTGAGAAAGTCATCATTATCCTAGTTACATGTATAATTGCACAAATGGTGTGACTCTACATCGTGTACAACCAGAGAAATGAAAGTTGTGCTCCATTTGTGTACAATGAATTGAAGTGCATTCTGCTGTCATGTATAACTAATTAGAACAAATAAAAAAGAGAAAGTTTTCCTTTATATAAAATTCATGGTTGATAGGATTTGTTTTCTTTCAACAGTATAACTGTGTCCTCTCATTGTCCAGAAGTTAGCTTTTAATCTTATTAGGTGTCCATTGTATATGATGACTGRCATTGTTTTCCTTGCCACTTTCAAGATTTTATCTTTTAGTTTTTAACATTTTGACTGTGATACATCTTGGATGGATCTCTGCATTGGAGTTCACTGAATTTCTTAGATATGCACATTAATAGTTTTCATGAAATTTAGTATGTTTTTAGCCATAATTTCTTCAGATTTTTTTTTTCTGTTCCTTTCTATCTCCTTCTAGTTTCATTATGCATGTGTTGGCAAACTTAAAGTTTACCGTATTTCTCCAGTGTTCTTCCCTCTTTCGGATTGCATAATCTCTACCAATCTATCTTCACGTTTGCTGATTCTTATGTCACTTGGGTATATGGTCAAGCTCTCTATTCATTTTAGTTATTGTATTTTTTAACTCCAGAATTTCCATTTGACCCTTATTTTGTTTTATTCTTTTAAATATTTATTTTTTTAGTTGTAGTTGGACACAATACCTTTATTTTATTTATTTATTTTTATGTGGTGCTGAGGATTGAACCCAGGGCCTTGCATGTGCTAGGCAAGCMCTCTACCACTGAGCTACAACTCCACCCCCTTGACCCTTATTTTAATAACGTTCTCTTTATGCATGCTTTCTACTGATGAGCCAGTGCCATCATGCAGTCTTACTTCTGTAAGTATGGCTTTCTTTTGTTCTTTGACCATACTTATTGCATCTGCTTTGAAATCTTTGYTTATCCTATCATCTGGACTCTCTCATAGGTATTTCTTTTGCCTTGCTTCCCCCCCCTGTGTTTGGGACACACTTTTCTCTTTCTCTCATGTGTTATAGTTTTTTTGTTGAATCCTGGACATTTTAGATAAAATATCAACTCTGAATATTGATTTCTCCTTCTTTTATCTCTTCTTTCTGTTTTACTCATTCTTTCATGGCAATTACACAGAATACTTAAGACTGTACCTAGTATATGGTATTGTGATTAAATGTGATATAAGATTAAAGTTGTAGGATCTATAAAATCCAGTTTGTATGCATACTGGTGTCTTTCTTTTGTCCCAGCAGTGAGTTGTTCATGAGTAAAGGTTGTTTCCATTTAAATGAGGTATATCACACATTTTTATAAGTCCTGAGGCCTTTGTCTTTATTATGAAATTTGTCTTTATGGATTTATAATTTTGTTCCTTTTGTAATGCAGTAGTGTTTTTTCCCCCAGTGCTGACTATTGGACCCAAGATTTTGCACATGGTAGGCTAGTGCTCTGCCACTGTGGCACATCCCCAGCCCTCTGTAATGCACTAGTTTTAGCTAATGCCTGATATTTCTTCCCTTTAGGTGACACCTATGTTTGAAGATTGGACTACTATTGATTGGTATCGATTTTTTTGTTTATGGGAAAAGTTGCCAACTTCTATGAAAAGGGTGGCAGAGYTAGTAGGAGTTGAAGAAGGATTCTTGGCTCGCTGTGTGAAAGGCAAAGTTGAAGCCAGAACTGAAAAACAGCAYCGGCAAATGGCCATCCACAAAAGGTAAACATAGTTGCCTGAACTCAGTGTGCTTCACCCAGTGTCTGGCTTACAGCCAACGTCCATTTGTTGTGGTAACTTTAATTGTCAACAAAATAAAAATTTTTGCTAACTATAGTAAAATTTTCAGTTTCTTTTGTTTACTGAATTTATAAATACTTTAGTTTCTTCTTGCACCTTATACCTTAGCAACCACTACATATGAAGCTCTTTTAGAATGTCTGATTTCCCTTCCTTAAAGAAGATATGAATTAGAACTGTCAATTTACTGTGGATTTACTTGGAATTATGCTTTGGGCACCCTTAGAAGTAATTCATTACAAGTAGGAAGAGATAATTAAAAGACTTAGGTAGGGAAATTTTAGTCTTTTAGCTTCTTTGAAATATAATACAATTATTTTTCTTTTATTATATTATTTACAACACATTCAAGTGTAAATTTTATAAGGATTTATATACTTGAATTACTTGTCATTGTTGCTTTTAAAATCAAAACCAGATTTTATAATCAGATTGTCATTTTATTGAAATGTGATTAGATAATCATATATCTATGTATTAAGTCTTCTTTTAATTTTTTGTGCCATTGTATTTTTTGAACCAAGTCTTATTCAAAATTAGCAGTATTGAAATATGAAGGACTTTTTTGTAAACTGACATTAGTTCCTTGCTCTGTACTGCTCATACTGATGCATGCCAACACTTACTTTGTAAACTTTGATCTGTCTTTGTCCACCAGCCTATTTCCTATTAGAAATCCTCCTGGAGTGTTTAAACCCTCCATTGTCTTTGTGGTTCTTAGTTGCTTTGCAGCACACATTGTACTTTTGTAGTAGATACAAGTGATCTCTTACTTTTTTATTACTTGATTTATTTTTTAGGTTTTTCACCAGTCTTGTGCTACTAGACTTAATCAGTGAAATTCCTTTAAAGGAAATAAATCAGAAATATGGATGCAATCGTGGACAAATTCAATCTTTGCAACAGTYAGCTGCTATTTATGCAGGTCAGTTAAAGGGTTTTACATTTATTGAACACTGGATTTATTGAAGACTGTGGTTGKTAAGATTCCTTTTGTTCAAATTCCATTTTATCATAAGTCTCTCTAATAGTGGTATAATTTTGTGTAGTTCCTGTTATCATCAGAAAATCTAAAACTATGGCTTCTCTGGCCTCAGCATCCTGTAGAGAACTGCTACGAAGCTGAGTGGGCTTTATTCCCCCTCTGTTCCTTAGAAACCTGATGACTGTTCCTCTTCTTTCTGTTTTGTTTGTTTGTTTTTGGTACTAGGGATTGAATTCAGGGGCACTCAACCACTGAGCCACATSCCCAGCCCTATTTTATATTTTATGTAGAGACAGGGTCTCATTAAGTTGCTCAGTGCTTCACTGTTGCTGAGGCTGTGTTTGAACTTGCAGTCCTCCTGCCTCAGCCTCACGAGCTGCTGGGATTACAGGTGTGCTTCCATGCACCTGGCCTGTTTGTTTGTATTTTTAGTTTCCTTCCTTCCTTCCTTTCTGCCTTCCTTCCTTTTTTTTTTTTTTTTCCCCTGTTGAAAGAAGAAATAGAAGTGAAGTTATCATGGTCTCCCTTTTCTCAAAGTACTGATTAACACATATTGTTGAAAATGAGAATGTCAAACAGAAAGCATTTCCTGGACTCTTGTCTGACTGTTTAAATCATTATCTCTTCTTTTCTTGTTTATTTCCATATTTTTTATTGGTACATTATGGTTGTACTTAACAGTRGAATTTGTTGTTAAATATTCATACATGCACACAATATAGCAATATAATTGTTAAATATCATCCCCTAGTATTTCCTCTTTCCCTCCCCAATATTTCCTCTTCTTTTAGGAAGTATTGGTGTGCCTTAATATATGAAACCCATGTTCTCTGAGCTAGACAAACAAGGAATTCTGGGTCTGATTTTATCAGGGGACCTTCTTTCTTAGGAAGGAAACCCCGGGCTACTAGAAGATGTATATATTTACATGAGCAGGAGGTTTCATTGTGATTGAAGGTGTGTGTATATGAAGGAGTGCTGAGGGGAAGATGGAGACAGTGGGTGGTGAGGAGGGAGGGACTCTAACTCACTGGCATCAAAGATCTAAGATTGCCWTTAGGATTAATGTTCTCATAGGGAGGTGACTCAATGGCATGACACTTGGCTGCTCTGACCACTTTATTTCAATTGGGTTTAGCTGTTTAAATGGCAACCTGRAATTTTACTCTTTCTAGTTCTTGTAGCATTTGAATATTTAAATAAGCTGTCTTCCTCTAGGTGGAAAGAGTCCCTCACTTGTATTTTAGAGTTCTCTCTTCCTTAAGTAATTTAGGAAGAAGCTGGATGCATAGGTGCATGCCTTTAATCTCCACTGCTCTGGAGACTGAGGCAGGAGATCACAAGTTTGAGGCCAGCCTTAGCAACTTAGAGACTGGCTCAAAAAAAGGGCTGATGTAGTGCAGTGGTAACCCTGGGCTCAATTTCTAGTACTGCCAAAAAAGGAAAAAGAAAAGTAAGGCAGAGGGGAATGGACTACTGGGAAGGCTTTTTGTTTGTTTTGTGTTTATGTGCTCTGCCTCAGTTTTCAAATGTTAAATTTAGAATCAAGAATTAATGAGAGACAATTATTATATTTAGCACATTTAGTGTTCATTTTTCTAGGTCCTTAATATATGTCTGTTCTCCATTAATTTATCCCTTGGGCCTTGTGAAATCTTACAATTCTGCGGGAAACAAACAAAACCAAAGAAGTACATGTGAAGAAATGGAGAATTTGTGTATAAGGAGCTTTTTATTATTCTGTTTTTATCAGTGCATTATCAACTTAACACTTATTCTATCACTTAGGGATGATAACAGTATTTTCCAACCGTCTGGGCTGGCACAACATGGAACTACTACTTTCCCAGTTTCAGAAACGTCTCACATTCGGCATCCAGAGGGAGCTGTGTGACCTGATTCGAGTATCCTTGCTCAATGCGCAGCGGGCCAGGTTCCTCTATGCTGCTGGCTTTCTTTCTGTGGCAGATCTTGCTAGAGCAGATGTTGCTGAGGTGGAGGTGGCTCTGAAAAATGCTGTGCCTTTCAAAAGGTGAGGAAGCCTCTTTATTTACATAGGGTTATGAAATGATAAGGTTATGAAATGTCATGTCAGATAATGAAATTAAATAATGATAAGTATTAAAATATTTTCCTCTTAATCTCGTGAAATACTTGATAAATGGAAGAATATGTGACTACTTTTTTCTCCTTGAGGATGACTTTTCATTTTGTGTATTTTATAAATATTGCCTGATTGAAAAGCCACTTCTAAAAGGATCATAATTCTCTCCTGAAAAGATTGAATGAAAATATAGTACCAACGCTTTTGTCTTTGATGAATTTTCATTTTCATTACATATCCAGGGCTCATCATATACTTTCTTTGGTCAGGATCACTTTATTTTTTATTTTATTTTATTTTATTTTTTGTGGTGCTGGAGATCGAACCCAGGGCCTTGTGCATGCGAGGCAAGCGTTCTACCAACTGAGCTATATCCCCAGCCCCAGGAGCACTTTAAAATGCATTCTTTGCAGAAATTCTTTGGAAAACTAGTCCTTCAAAACATTTTGTGAGGAGAGGATTCCTTAACACATTTTTTTTTTTTTTTTTTTTTTTGTGAATGTGGAGTTTAACCAATTCATTGTATGGGCTGGACTCAGCATATAATCAAGGAGTAACTTAATTATTTTAACTGTCACTGTTGGAACTCATTCCAATATGAAGAACCGAACACATTCATAACTATTTAGTTACTTTCTGGTACTAAAAGTTTTATTTTCAGGTACCTAAGAATGTGTTCTCAATCAAAGCATTAATCTCTTTTCCAGTTCAGTGTTTCTTTCTTCCCACTCATTTCTGGCCTGATCCAGGGTGTGGAAATTGTAACACATGGGGCGTAGTCTTTTGCTATCCTCTTGGATCTTACAAATCTCCTCCTCTATGTACCCTTTCTTTTTGATAATCTTAAGATTTCAGGTGGGAAGAAGGGAGGTGAGGTAAAGAGGCAGAAAATCTTTGATGGGGGTATTTGTTTCTGTATTGCTGTTAGATAGGATGCTAGCCTGTGCCCATATTATGGTTCTTTCTCTCCTGGGGTATCTTTGTTTTCACTACATCCTCACTAATGAGAGCCCTAATGTGGAAGAAGTTGCAAGCTGTCTGTATCCAAACCAGTGTTATAAGGAGGGCCATGCAACAGTGTAATCAAAGTCAGGTTTATGGGTTTGATGAACATGAGTTCGTTTTGAAAGTGTTTTCCTCCAGAAGGGCCTGTGTCTATCTCAAAGTAAGAATGTCCCTCAGAGTCAATGATCGTTGCAAATACTTGTAGAACTTTAACTGTGATAAGTGTTTTCACATTATTATTTTTATCAGTTCTCTCTGGTTGCAAAGATCATTATATTTTTAGTGGTCTGTTTCAATTTTGTTTTTTCTCCTAAGCTCATATGGTTTTAGTGTGTGATTTTGCAGTGCCTGGGGTTTTTAAGGGATACATAGGGTATCATAGTAGAAATTTTTGGTCTCTCTCTCTCTCTCTTTTTTAATTGGGCATTAGGGTTCTTTGTACATATTTGTGGTTATTTTAGGTAATTTAGTAATTTAAAAAGTTTTAACAATTTTGAAGAAAAATCTTTGGAAAATGCTTTCTACTTTTTTGGGGATGCAGGTTGAGTACCAGGATTGAACTCAGGGCACTTGACCACTGAGTCATCCCCAGCTCTATTTTGTATTTTATTTAGAGATAGGGTCTCACTGAATTTAGCATCTTGCTTTTGCTGAGGCTGGCTTGAATTCATGATCCTCCTACTTCAGCCTCCTGAGCTGCTGGGATTACAGTGCTTTCTACTTTTCAAAACAATATATTTTAACCTTTTCTTAATAACTTTGTCAAATTAGCTAGGTCCTTTGTCATTCTAATATTAATTTTGTTTATTGTACATTAGTGATATATTGCAGAGCTATTAATGTGTAGACTTTTAATCTGTTGTGCATTGTTACTGTGCTCTGTGATTTGTGATTTTGTTTTTCCATCATTTTCCTGAGTGTCAGGCTACCAGCTGATTAGCTGGTATTTCTCATTGCTGTCATTTTCWGCAGTCTACTGAAGTTCAGCAGCTAGGACACAAACACTGAAGGAGTCATTATAGATTAAAGAACTCCAGCTTTTTGTGAGTTCACAAAAAGGATGGAGTGTTTGTTTTAGAATTAGATAGACTTCTTTGGAAAGTMTACCTAGAATGTGACTTAAAACCAACTTCTAAAAGTGCTAGTCACCTCTGGAGTTTGGGTTTCATAGAACTTTTGGAAATATGTACTGATAGTTCCTGAGGTAAAGAAAATCAGGTATGGAAAAATCTTTACATGGTAACAACATGCCACAAATGATCCATTTTTAAAAAGTTCAACTGAAAAACAGTGTTGTTTGCAAGCACATCACTTCTATATTATAATGAGGTTGTTGTTGCAAAGGTTATACTTCTTCTGAAAGCCTACAACCTGTATTGATCAAAATTAGTGATAGTATTTAGCAGGACAAATTAGTATTATGTGCATCATGTAATACCATGAGGCCATTGTATTGCTTTTTAATTTTTTTTTTTTGGGTGTGGATGATATTATCTTGTTATTCCGTATTCTTTTTTTTTAAAATTTATTTATTTTTTATTTATATATGACAGTGGAATGCATTATAATTCTTATTACACACACAGCATAGTTTTTCATATCTTTGGTTGTATGCTTTTTAATTTTTTTATAAATTAATTCATTTTTAAGATTGACAACATTTATATGTGTCAATTTTGAGTGTGCCCAAGGAGGAATTTATGATGTTCAACATGTTCAACATGATGTTCACATGAAGTTTTGAATAGGTATGTATTGTAGAATGGCTAAGTTGAGACAAAACATAAGTTTTCTGTCTTGAGAACACTTAAAAATCTACTCTCAGTGATTTTTAMAGAATTCAATGCAGTAATATACAATACTCCTAGAATATTTATTACCCAAAATGTTGAGAATGAATTTAATCATAAAGAAACAAACTAAATTGGAATACATTCTCCAAAATAATTGACCAGTCCTTTATAAAGGGAAGGGGCAGGGGTTATAAATGATGGTGGAACGTGATGATCATTATTATCCTAAGTACATGTATGAAGATACGAATTGGTGTGAACATACTTTGTATACAACCAGAGATATGAAAAAAAAAAAAAGTCTTTGAGTATTTTCCTAAACAAAAAGTCAAGGGCCGTAAATCCTTCTGTGGTAAAGCAACTTTCCAGATTGAGGCAGGGGCCCTCTGTTTGCAGCCAGGAAATGGAAGATTTTTGATCCCCACCTGGTCTTAGGGACTAGATTGCTTGATTGCTGCCTGAAAGATAACAATGTGCAGAAGATTCTAGGAGGTGGGAGAAGCATAATGAGGGTCATGGAGGAGTGTGCCCAAGGAGGAAGCTCAGGGCCAACTTGTCAACTGCAGGGTTGTAGGGTGACAGCCACAGCAGATATTCAGAAATCCTGGAGAAAGGAAGAGAGGCAATGTAGCAGAGGAATTCCTTTTGTGCATTTTGAGTAGCTTTGTTTGTGGAGTGGAACACATTGTTTTCTGGGCTCTCTTTCCCTGCCAACATAGTAGAGTTTTTACCCTATGTTTTTTTCTAGCACTTGCAAGGTTTCTGGTCTAATTGTTAAATATTTGACACTTGACTTTTGTGTAGATTTAAATATAGAGATCTATTTCATTCTTCTACCTGTAGCTATCCAGTTTTCTCAGCATCGTTTGTAAAAATGCTTTCTTTTTTTTTTCCAACAAATATTTTGGCACCTTTTCCAAGAATTACGTGACTGTAAGTGTGTGGGTTTGCCCTGTGTCTTCTATTCTGTTCCATTGGTCTTCCTGCCCTTTTTTTTTTTTCCTAATATGGATTTTTCATTTTATTTATTTTTATGCAGTGCTGAGGATCAAACCCAGGGCCTCACATATGCCAGACAAGCACTCTACCACTGAGCCACAACTCCAGCACCCCTTCCTCCCACTTCCTGCCTCTTGTAATGCCGGTACCATGCTGTTTTTGTTATTATACCTCTTTGTTATAATTTGAGACCAGGTATTGTGATTCCTGCTGCATTGCTCTTCTTGCACAATATTTCTTTGGCTACTCTGGGTGTCTTATTCTTCCAGATGAATTTAAGAACTGTTCTTTCTTATTCTGTTAAGAACATCATTGGTATTTTAATGGGGTTTTATGGCCAATTGAGATCAATCAAAATTTAATTGGAGAACTGATATCTGTATAATGTTGAGTCAACATATCCAAAGATTGGTTGTTTCTTTGCATTTGATTTAGTCCTTGTTTTCCAGGAGGTTTTTTTTTTTTTTTTAAGTTTCCCTTGTAGATTTTTGTACATTTCTTGTTAAATTTATTCCTATTTAATATTCATTGTTATTTTAATTGGTGTTTCTCTGATATCGTATACATGATTATTAGTTGAGATTTGAAGGCTACTGATTTTTATGCATGTCTTGTCCTGCTATTTTGTGAATTTCTTTATTGTTTGAGTTACTTTTATCATTGATTCTGTGGGGTTTTCCAGGTATGTTACTATTTTTTTTTTCTATAAGTACAGGTATATTGCTTCTTCCTCACAATTTCTTGTGCTTTTATTTGATTTTTCATGCCGAATTGAATTATTTCTTGCCTAATTGAATTATTTCTGGTTTTTAACTTGAATTAGTTTATCCTGCGATTGACTGTTCTTCTAGTGTAGTTCCTCCYTTTTCTCATTTTCAGTTTTATTTTTCATTTCTTCTTCATGAAATATTTTGTTGAGAATGTTTTGTAGTGCAGGCTTTCTGGTTGTGAATTTTTTWAATATATTTGTTTATCATGGAAGGTTTTTATTTCATTGACAAATCTGAAGCTTAATTTTGCAGGTTATTGTATTCTTGGTTGACATTCATTTTCTTTCGAAGCCTGGGATATATGATTCCAAATCTTAGCTTTGATGGTCTAGCTTGAGAAACCAGCTGAAATTAGAATTAGTTTCCCTCTAAATGTGACTTGTTTTCTTTGGCAGCACTTAGAATTCTGTCCTTAATCTGTATGTTTGGCATTTTCACAATAATTTGCCTTGGTGTGGGTCTATTGTAATTTTGTATATTTGGGGTCCTGCATGCTTCATGTATTTGATTTTTCATTTCATTCTTCAGGTTTAGGAAATTTTCTGGTATTATGCATTTCTTTCTATTGTTTCTCTGAGCCTTTGTTTGATCTTTTTTAAATCTTAAGTTTGATCTTTTCCTGTTATCCCATATTTCTTGGAAGTTCTGTTCATGTTCTCCTAACATCTTTTCTCCGTGGTCAATTTTATTTTCAAGATTATATATTTTGCCTTCATTTCTTGAAACTGTGTCTTCTAAGTGGTCTGGTCTGCTTGTGATATTTCCAGTGAATTTTAAATTTTGTTTATTCATTCTTTCACTTCAAAGATTTTTGCTTTTTTTTCTTTCCCAGAATCTCTGTCTTGTTATAGAAGTGATCTTTTTCTTCCTGTATTTTCTGCTTTATATCATCTTTTACCTTGCAGATCAATTTAATTAGGGATACTTTAAACACCTTTTCTGACATTTCTATCACAGTGGTGTCAATAGATTCTGTTTTTTGACATATTTTGGTTTGTTTGGGGTGATTTGTTCCTTGGGTTTTTCATGTTGTTTGGGTGTCTATTGATCTAACAGTTGCTTTAAGGTAGTAGATATCCCTGAAGGTTTCCAGTATCTCATGGTTTATGGGGAGACAGATAATAACCACCAATGTAAACAATTTACAGCATTACACCAAATAGCTCTTGCTATGAAATCTGTAATGTTTATTGTCACAATAATCAGAAATGAAATGATCAGTTATTGCCCATGGCAAAAACAGTAAGTTTACAAATGGTCTACAAATCCAAGTCGTGATCAGAGATAGAACAAAAGTGATATAGGGTGTGATGATTATGAGAGAGGTGGAGAGAAAATAGAAGTAAAAAATTAAAGGAAGAGTGAAGGAGAGAACAATGGAGATTAGCTGTTAGCAGAGGAAAAGAGAGAAAAAAGGTTGAGGGAAACTGATAGGTAAGAGAAAACAATGTATAGAATAAAATAAATAAAAAATACAAAAATGAAATAATAAATTGCAAAAATAAAATTGATATCTGCTAATCAAACATCTTAGTCCTCAAAATATTGCTCCATGAAAAATAACTGCCTTCAAATAAAATGGTAGAAGTGAGAAAAAATAAAGATATATGAATATGTATAAATATCTAGTTAAAGATAGAGTTCTTTAAGAGGAAAGTGATGGGGTGGTAGAACAGGGTTTTTAGATTCATGAAATGAATAGGGCAAATGCAGAGGTGATATAGGATGTGTTTGTAAGGGGGGAGAACAAAAAAGAGAAATAAAGGAATTAAAGGAAGAGAAAGAGAGAGCGCGCTAGCATGCAAACAAGCAATCGAGTTTGGCTGTTAGCAAGAAAAATGAGAGAAATATTAACAAAAGAAAACAATGTTTTGAAACAGACAATGAAAAATCAATCCAAAATATACTAATCAAAAACTTTAACCCTCAAAAAAGCATGAAAAATAGCTATCTTCAAGAAAATGCTACAACTGAAAAATCATAAATAAATATGTGTACAAATGAATAATTGTCATGTATCAATCAGTGTGCATTTAAAAACAAAACAGCAAAACGGAAACAAAATTACAGAATAGTCAATGAGGGTACTCGCCCAGTGTCTGTGCCAAACTGCCTTTCCATTTCTTAGCTTCCCTTCTCAGCATGAGGGTGTGTGGAAGACACTTTTGGCTTCACTTCCAGGGTGTGTAATTGCCGTCGGGTTCTGTGAGATGAGTTTCTGCAAGTGAAGCTCCCTGGGTGAGGATTTGGTCTGGTATTGCCCCAAGTGTTTTGTTGTGTGGGGTGTTTCAGGCCTTAATGAATGAACACACTTCTAGGACTCTACCCAGTGCTTCAGTGCTTCACCTTTTCTGTTGTTTGGCAATACTGCCCTTTTTTGGCTTCTCAAGGACTGTTTTAGAGCACTGAGCTTAAGTACTCCTCCCTGTTCAAGTTCTCTCTGCCTGTGGTCCTGTGCTCTGCCAGTTTCAATGGGATGAGACAGAAATTCTTTGTGCTAGAGATTCTCGTGATTTGCTAGGCTCACTTTAGATCTCGTGGTTAGTGTCAGCAGGATTCATGTATTGGTGTCAGCCCGGAACTCATGGATCTAAGTTCCTGGTCTGAATTAGTGCTGCAGTTATCATGGAGGTATTAACATGTTTCCAGCTTGGGCTTCCTGTACTGGCTGGCAGACGTGACATTTGTGCACCAGTTTATTGGGTYGAATAGCTTCTGGGTTGGCTTAGGGCAGGCAGCCCCTCTGATCCCTGGATTCCCCATGCCATGATTTTCCCAGGACTTTTTTTTTTTTTATTTATTCATGGATTTTTATTTTATTTATTTATATGTGGTACTGAGAATAAAACCCAGTGCCTCACACATGCTAGGCTAGCACTCTTCCACTGAGCTCTAGACCCAGTCCTTTCTCAGCAGTTTTTGATCTTTTYCAACCTGTATTAATTGTCCACAGAGCTATGAGAAAAGCCACTTCCCACTGATCCCCATCTTGTCTCTTCCAAATCCCAATTCTTGTGATCATTCAAAAAGATTTCAGACAAGCTGCCCAGAGTAACAGGAATTGAGTTTATTGAAGGGATAGGAAAAGGGAGAGGGGACCCTCAAGTGACCTCTCAAGAAGAGAGGGACAGTGTGCCTCTCCTGCACTCCAGTTTTATTGGGGATCCCTCCTAAGTTTCTGGAGAGTCCTGCCTAGGTCCACCTCTTGACTTTTTAGTCACAGCAGGCTGACATCAGACTTCGAAGTCCCTATGTCATGGCAACTCTAGGTCACCTTGGCCCATGCTGATGTGTTCTAATTGGATTCTTAATTATAAATTCTTACAGATTTTATGGTTAGAAGGAATTATCCTTATCTCCCTGAGTTTTGGGATCTGGTCTATGAAAAGGGTAACAAAATTTACTACCTTCAGGGTAACTTGAGTTCAAGTCCCTCCCAAGTCGTGCACGGGTGGTAGGAATGGGGTTCTCCTCAGTGGAATGGGCTGGCTGAGGAATAAAAGCAAAGAGAAATAAAATAGTGAAAAAAACATACAAAAAAGTAGTTGCAAATGTCAGAACAGGACAGGCAAGCTGATCAGACAGATTGAGATTCTGGACAACGATGGAGCCTGCATCTTTTTATTTATATCGGGAAACATCAATGGCCTTCCATAGAATGTTCTTCACCAAAATAGGATAAAGGTAGGCTGTTCAGTTCCTAAAGGGATATGCYCATCTCTGGTACTACTATGAGGAACCTTTCTGGCAGAGCAGAGGGAAAGGTCACATGCATTGGGCTATCTATTGCAGTGGGAGAACTAGGGAAAGTTCCCAGCCTATCCCTCCCTGGCATCCATGCCGAGAGGAGGTCCTCATGTATTTCACGGATGGCTTCCCACAGATAAGTCTTATGGTACTCATATTCTTTTGCTCTGGTAAGTTATTTGATCTTTTTGTGTGTAAGCATTGGGATCTTTTCCCATATATTTGAAGTTTAATAGTTCTATTACTAGGTAAGTTTCTATTTTATGTAACAAAATACTTAAAAACAGTGGCTTAAGAATAGCAGTTTAAGTATATATTATCTTGAAGTTTCTGTAAGTAATGAATTTGGGTGTACCTTTGCTGGTGGATCTGGCCTGGGGTCTTTCATAAGGTTGCAGCTCAGTTGGTGGCTACGACTGTAGTCATTTGAAGGCTTAACTTGGGTGTGCTTCTGAGAAAACTCATGTCCACTCTGGTAAGTTGGTGTTTGATACTTCAGGTGTGATCCAGATGGAGCACTCCATAAAACATCTGATGATGGATGACCTCCCCAGAATCGGTGATCCAAGGGAAAGCAGAATGGAAGCTATAACGTCTTTTATAACTTATCCTTAGTTTTTTAGTTGTTTTACCTGAGCAGCTGAATTGGACCCTAGTACCCCATCTTAGCTAGAAGCAGAAACTGGTCAGCCATTATTTCTTGTATAATTTTCTCCCCATCCTGTCTTCCTCCTCCTCCTGGTATTTCAATTATACATATGTTTGACTTTTTAGGGTCTGTATTCTATGATGTTGCCCAGAAGAGCACTGATATTGTATGTCATTTTGGGTGAATTCAAACTCTAAACTTGGTGGGTAGTAACTCAAGTCTCTGTTCAGACTTTTTAACAGGTTACTTGGGGTCTTCCCACACTGGTATAATTTATAGCCATATACTGGGCAGAGTTTATATGAAGAATTTGGGGTCTCCTTCTTTGACTTTCTCATTTTTAGACATTCCCCCTTTAATTTCTAACTCCTATATTTACCCTAAGCTCTGTTCTGAATTCAGTCAGTGGTCTCCAGGTTTTAATCCAAACTCTTAGTGGGCCTACATGGTACTGACTAGAGCCACTTTCTGGTGAAAAGTGTGAAAATTCACCCACTGTCATTTATTTGTTCTAACATTCAACCCCCATCCAGTTTCTGCTTTCTTTTGGCCACTCTCCAGTCTCTTCAATATTTGGTCTAGAGTTTAGAGTGTGTAGGATGATTTGTTTTCAATGACAACATTATGACCCTTTTTAATTTTTAATATTTGGCTTTTGCTTAAAGAAGTTTAGTTAAACATTTCCTTATTATGCTATTTTAAAATTGCAGAACCACCCACCATTTTCTGGTGATTTTTTTTTTTTATACTGTCCTCAGATGTCATAGAATATAAGTTTAAACATTTTTTTTTTCCTGATTTCCCCAGATAGTCATGAGAGTAGATATCCCTCTTTTTCAGGGTTATTTCTTTAATTCCTAGAACAGCTCAGATTGAATGCTTAATAAATATTAGTTGTATGAATGAATTAATCAACATATTAATTTCCTTCTTTTTTAAAAAAATCTTTTTCCATAGTGCGCGAAAAGCAGTGGATGAGGAAGAGGAAGCAGTTGAAGAACGTCGGAATATGCGAACTATTTGGGTGACTGGCAGAAAAGGTTTAACTGAAAGGGAAGCAGCAGCCCTTATAGTAGAAGAAGCCAAAATGATTCTGCATCAGGACTTAGTTGAAATGGGAGTGCAATGGGATCCTCACTCCCCTTTAAGTTCTGGTACAAATTCACTGTCCAGAAGTGAGTCAGAACAGGAACACACGTTGATAACCCAAACTACAAGTTCTCATAAAAGATTAACATCAAAGAACAAAAGTAATATAAGATTTAGTGATTCTTATATTAAGCATTCACCTGATATAGTGCAAGATTTAGATAAAACTAGAGAGTATACAAGTTCCTTTCATTGTAACTCCCAGGATGGCAATCAGGAACATCAGAGATATTCCATTTCCAGAGCAAGAAAGCGGGCTTCTTTGGGCATACATAAAAAGAAGCTGAGAACATCTCTAAACAAAGGAAAATCAGGCACTAGAAAAGTTGTTCAGACTTTCTCATTAGAGAAAACAAAAAAAGCAGCTTTGAATTTCAGTTCAGAAGAGATGAACACAGGCTTTCAATCTTGGAATAATAGAAAGCATCAAAAACAGTCCACGGATGGTAGTCCTGTGAAAGACTCTGGGCAGCGTGGAATTGATTTGAAAGGGCAGACTATGTTTAGTCCTGATGTTTGTGAAGAACCATTTACCGTGGATGAGAAGAATATAGAATTTAGAAGTCCACAGCCATTTGCCAAAAATGTACCTTTTTACTCTAAGGGAAATTACAACAAAACATCATTGCTGTTACAAACAGAGCAAAGCTGTTTAAAGAAAAGAACAACAACTAATGATATTCTGGAGAAATGTTCTGTCACAGGATCCCAAAGCAAAACCATGACTTGTCAAGCTACTAGTGTGGTTAGTAAAAACGGAAGAGGATCAGCAGTTGTTGAAACAGAAAAAATAAATGCAGTGCTGATACAAAGTGATTTAAAAAATCAGAATGTTTCAGTGGTATATCATGATAGTCATCCAGTTAATCAGGTCCTGGAAAAGCAACATGATAAGCCAACAGACACTAACATCAAACAGAAAGAAATAATACAGAGAAACATGCCCTGTGAGGTAGTCAGTAGTTATATGCATAAAGAGCCAGTTGTTACTGCGATCACATGTGAAAGTATAAAGTTTAATAGTAAGGAAAATAAGCCAAATCATTTTCAGGCATTAGGAGATAATATACACAGAAGTGGAGTAACCCCTGGAATATTTCAGTCAATGAGAACATTTGGTAAATCAGGAGGCCAGCATGAGAATTTTCTAAATTCTTCTAGCATAAAAGAAAAAACAAATGCTTATGTAACAAACAAAACTGAAAATAATTGTGTTTCTGACTTAGGTTTAGTCTGTGATTTTGAAGATAGTTTCTATTTGGATACTCAGTCAGAGAAAATAATTCAACAGGTGGCAACTGAAAATGCCAAACCAGGAGCAAAAGACACCAACCTGGCAGCAGGGACAATACAGAAGAGTGTAGAAAAACAGGATCTGAACCCTTTCCACAGTGAGTCTCATATTTCTGGTGAACAGCATTTCCCAGGAGTCACTAACCAAGAGAGGTTGGACCTGAAGACCACAGAAACTGTGAAACAGAGCACTGAACAAGAGGTCGATAGTCTGACTCCAGAAAGCCTGGTTTTTCATTCTCCAGTTCTATTGGAGGAAAATAGCCCTTGCTTTAAAGGGAATGAACTTTCTGTTACTGACTCACAATTAAATAGTTTTCTTCAAGGTTATCAAACGCAAGAAATGGTAAAACCAGTCACACCTGTGGTTCCTTGGAAGAGCTCTCCCACTGATACTGAGGGAGAATGTCTGCCTGGTCCTGAGATAAGTTTGAATATGAGTGATAGTTTACTGTTTGACAGTTTTAGTGAAGACTTCCTAGTAAAAGAACAACCACTTGATGTACAAATGAAAGAACCCCTTCCTCCTGAAACAACATCAAACCATTTCAGTKATTCTGTTTGTATACAAGAGGACCCAGTGAAAATATCCAATGTGAATGTGCATCAAGGCATTTTGCAGCAGTTGACCTGTGTCAATGATGAATCTATTATGTTTTCAGAAGTGGATTCTGTTCAGATGGTTGAAGCTTTGGATAATGTAGATATATTTCCTGTCCAAGAGAAATGTAATTCTGTGGTATCTCTTAAAGCATTAGGTAGAAGTGATTCAGTGATTGTGAATAATGGACATCTGCATGGAGAAGTAATTGGAGGAGATGAAGATGATGAAAAGGCTTCAAAGTCCAGATTAACTGGGACAAAGCAAAATAATTCATTCGGATGGTCAGGGGCATCAATTGACTTAAGTCCAGAATTACAAAGGATTTTAGATAAAGTTTCCAGTCCTCTGGAAAATGAGAAGCCAAAATTAACAACTAAAAACTTGTCTAGTTTAAAAGGTGAAAATACAGAGTTACATGAGAGGAAAGAAGTGATTTTAAATTTGGAAACAAATCAAGTACAGGCAATTTCAATTTTCCCTAATAATGAAGTAAAAAGCAAGATTGAGGCATTAGAGAGCAGTGCCAAACATGGTGAAACCTCATTCCACTTGCCTTGTAAAGAGGGCTTGATAGCTGATGATAATGGTCTCATTCCTCCTACACCCATTCCAGCATCTGCTTCTAAGCTGGTATTTCCAGAAATGCTTGGAGCATCTGTAAAAGTTCAGAAAACAAGTAACGCTTTACAGCCTGGTGAAGATTGCACATTTGGCTCAACTTTAGATAATAAAAAGCAAGATTTAATGTTAGAGAATAGAAACAAATTCCAGGAGGACAATCTTGTTAGAGACACAAGTTTTTCCCTGCAGTTGTCACAGGATGGATTACAGTTAACTCCAGCCTCGTGCAGTTCAGAAAGTCTGGCCATCATAGATGTAGCAAGTGACCAAACTCTCTTTCAAACATTCATTAAGGAGTGGCAGTGCAAAAAGCGATTTTCCATCTCACTGGCTTGTGAAAAGATTAGAAGTTTGACATCTTCTAAAACTGCTACTATTGGTGGTAGGTTTAAGAAAGGTAAGAATTTTTTTAAAAAATTTGTTTTTTCATACTTACCTATAAATTAGTTGGTGGACTGGGGTGAACTTTAGATTGTTTAGTATTAGTTGTTAGATATCATCTATTCAAAATTTAGTTTATCTCCTATTAGGACTTACATGTAAAACAGCTTTTTTTTTTTTAATTTGGCCCAGGTAAATTACTAATAGTTTCCCTCCAGTTTCCCTACAGTAGGAGATGTATTCATTATGTACTATATTCATTAGGATATAAATTCATAAAAATTAAGACAATATATATTTTTAATATCAGATATTTATAGCATTTAAATGTTATAACATCATGATTTTTAATTAATCATCAGTACTTATTAATTATTTCCTATTAAATCATAGTATCTGTTTACTTATATAACCACAAAGGGATGTAACCAATGGGTATTATGTTTTTCACAATATGCATTAGATACATTTTCTAAACTCTGTCTCAAGTAGAACTTGTATCTCCAGTGTTAGTCATGAATTCCATACCAAAGTCTTTATTTCAAAGCCTCACAGAACTCTCCCAGAATTCCAGAGAGTTAAACCTTTTGATCAAATAATGCCATGTGTATTTTTGTCTTAGTGCATGAACCTTGGGTTCAGGATCGTGGGGAATAGCTGTAGTTAGCTTGTCAACCTGTTGTGGGAAATCGGGTTTGATTAGAGTTCTTGAATTTGTATGTATGGATGAATTTGTTCGTAAAATTTTGAGTATTTGTCTGATCTTCAGTTTGTAGAACACATGTGTTAATGACAAGTTTGATATACTTTTCATATTGAATTCCACTTTTCATTTTTTATCTATCAAGCACAAAATTGAACACATTTTCTGTGTCAGGCTCTATGCTAGAAGACTATAAATGCTTACTTAAATTTAATAAATATGTATTGAATTCCTTGTGCCAGTTTTCTAGTTATTCAGTTAATTTTCTAGTTATTGGGGATATAGTTGTAAATAAAATGGGTTGGTTTTTGCTTTTTGTAAATGGAGGATATACATTTTTAGAAAATGGTGTTGACTCTAGATTTAAAAAATTGTACTTAATTCTTCACTAAGGAGTAAGTCTCTTATTGCAGTTTTTTAATTGTTAGAATTGGTGGATTTGCCCTAAAAAACAAATGCCAAATGTCTTCTTTGATATAAGGAGAGCAACTAAGAACAGAGTAGGGAGGAAGAGCATGAGAAGAAGATTACCATTAAACAGGGATGAGAGGTGGGAGGGAAAGGGAGAGAGAAGGGAAATTGCATGGAAATGGAAGGAGACCTTCATCATTATACAAAATTACATATAAGAGGAAATGAGGGGAAAGGGA